TTGAAAGTAAAAATTCTTGCGCTTTTATAGTAAATTGTATATTTAATAGCTTAACTAAAAATTCAAATACAAAAATAATTTTTGTTTCTATAAATATTTTGCAAATAAAGTAACGTGTTTTTTATAATAAAAGAGTGGTAAATTTAAATAAATAATTGACTTTAAATATTACAAATATTATTATTAAACTTTATACATAATAAAAACATCGGTTCCCTAAAATTTTAACAATATGATTTTAATTAGTTACATAAAAAGATTTTTTACCAGGGAATAGTTTCATTTTGTTTTTATATTTCTTGCTTTTCACAAATAAGTGCATAAATAAAATGTCATTCAATTTATAAACATTTTTTATTTGAAGTTTTTTTTTCTAATTATTAAATTAAATGAGACTATCTAATGAATGTATGTTTTTTGTACATAAACTTAGAATAACACTTTTTATTTCGTTTTTGCATTGTTATTATCTAAGTATACTTGTAACTATTTTTTATTGAATTGAAGACGCAAAATTCTCTGCTAATAAAAGCAAATAATAATAAAAACTTCAAATATATATTGTTTTTTTGTAAAATTTTTAAAAACTTAAGTAACATGAAAAATATATCCTCAAAACATTCTTAGTTTATTTTTTAAATCATATTTTTGTAAAAAACAAATCTTTATTTCTATTTATAGTTTTTTCTTCAAATCAAAACTTATCCTAATATAATAATTAAACACAAATAAATAGAATAGTTGCTAGATAAGCCATGTATGTTATTTCTACTACAAAATATTTAGATTGTTGTAAAAATATTTTTTTATGGTTTGTTTTTTAGATTTTATAGTGAAAACTTAGTTTTAGTATTTTCAAAAGATAATTTAAATTTTTTTTTAATTTTAATATATTTAAATACATTTTAATTTTTAGGTGTGTATTAATTTTTTCAAAGTTTTTAAATGTATAAGAACTAAAATAATGAAATAATAAACAATAACTAATATTAAGGTTATTATATTATTTTTGTATTGAATAAAATTTTATCTGTATTTAAGCAATCTAATTAATTATCAATCTGTAAAGTTTGTAAATTTAAATCATAATCAGCACAAAAATAATCTTTAATAACTTTTAAAGATTAAATTAACCGATTTTAACATTTATGCTGTAATTATAAAACAAATTTTACTTTTTTTTGTTAAAGTATAAAAATTTATTTGCTTGAAACTATTTACTTCAACAAATTAATAAATCTATTTGTTATTTATAAATTTAAAAACATTAAAGATAATAAAAAGGTAGATGCTAATAATAAAAAATGATGAAATTAAGAAAATAAAATATGCTATTTACCAACACAAAACCTGCAGATTTGATTTAAAATTTATTACTCTCGTATGCTAACTAGTCCTTAAATCTGTTAATAAGGTAATTTGGACTTCAATGATTTTAATTTTAACAATATTCTATATTTTTTTCTTGGAGGTTTTCTAAAAATATTGTTAAATTTATAAATATAAGTATTAACCTACAATTTAAATTTTAATAAACCGTTATTTTTAAAGATAGAGGTTTTTAGAATTTTGATTGTTGGTAATAAGTCACTTACTTTAGTAAAACCAACAAAATATTCTTCTATGAAAAAGGTATTTGTTTTTTGTTTATCTTTTTAACTATGAGGTTGTCATCGATATAAATTATTTTGATCTTGTTTCATCTTATATCTTATCTTGTTTTTTAAAATATCATTAGGTCGTATATGGATAAACCAACAAAGAAATTTTCATGATTGTATTTTTAAATAATTTAAAACCCACTAATGCTGAACTAATATTATAAACTTTACATATAAATTGTGTTTTTATAAATAGTATTGATTCTGTTTGTATTGGTACCTTATATTTTTTTCATTTTTTAAATAAAACAAAAGTCATCTAGACTTCAAACAAATGTTTTCCGTAATGTTTAAAGCTAAAAATTTTTTTCTAAAAATATTAAAGTTTATCATAACTTATTAAGATATTAACTCAGATATTTTTATATAACATTTATTTCCAATGAAGCAAAAGTTTGTAAAAGAATTTATAAATTTCTAAAACAATTAAGATAAATTATAATTGAAATCCTATATATATAGGAAAGTATATATACTTTCGATTTTTCAACTTTTTGCTTGGTAAAAAGAAATGATATGTGATTTACAAGTTTATAATTAAACCCCTGCTTTTTTTTATTTTTTAAAATATACCAGGCTGAAATTTTTATATCTTTTATTTATACTAAATTAACTAAAGAATGGTTATTATTATTTAAACATATTGGTTTTTGCGTTACGATTTGTAATTCGCTTTATTTATTTTTTTTATTTTAAATACTGCTGTTACAATGTATTTTTAAATAAAGATAAACACTAATAATAAAAAATTGTTTGATATTTAAATATCCAGAAATATTTTATTGACTCTATTTTTACATTCTAGAATAAACATGTCTTACGTTAATAAAAAAACAGTTATATTTTTAACCTAATAAAAATTTTAATTTTTAATAAAAATTCGTAAAATTATAAAACTTTATATTTGCAGTGGCTATTTAAATACTAAAGGCTTTTTATTCTTTTGCCCCTTATTCAAGACAATTTTATATTAATAAATGCGTTTTAATAAATTTAATTAATGACACATAAATATTGCAATGAGATATTTAAAGGCAAGAATATTATTAGCTAGATTATATTCTTCTGAATGTTTTTTTACTAGCACAATTTAAACATAAAATACTAGATATAATATTTTAAATCTTTAATAATTCTTCGCAATCTAACTTAATTATCTATATGACTTTGCTATGCAACAAAGATAACATTTTAAAAGTGAGTTACTATTTTAGTATTTTTGAAAATAAGAAATTTTTTTGAGTTTTTGGTTATTAAATACAAATTATTTGTTTTTGTTGAGTATTTTGTAATTATTTTGAAATTTTTTGACAAATATCAAAAACATATTTATCGATATCATATTTATTTTTAAAATTACACTTTAATTATCGTTTTTTATTTAAGTTTTTTAAAGATACAGACATGATTTATAACAAATGTTCAAAACTAATATTATTACACATCATTTAGGTTGAGTACCAAATTTAAAACCAATTTATTTCAAAAATATTATTTTTATACAAAAAAAATTTAGATGAATTCAATAACAATACAATTGATATAAATTATTATTTTATTTGACTACTAATAAAAAATTATTTTGGGTTAAATTATTAGAAAATTAATTTTTTATTATACTTTATAAAACCATCTTAATATACTTTAAATTTAAATAATACTTAAATGCTCGAAATAACATACACGCTTCTGACTGTGAAGTGCCATGTGTCTCTTCAAATCCTTCGATTGAGTAAATTCCTTATTACATACTTCACATTTATAGGAATGCTCTCGTTTATGAATCAGCATGTGTTTTATCATATGACCTCTTACTGTGAATGTCTTTTTGCATATATTGCATTCATGGGGACGTACCCTACTGTGTATCAGCATGTGACTTTTCAGATGACCTGATTGTGTAAATTTCTTTTTGCATATATCGCATTCATGGGGACGTACCCCACTGTGTATCAGCATGTGACTTTCAGATGATCTGATGTATAAATTTCTTTTTGCATATATCGCATTCATGGGGACGTACCCCACTGTGTATCAGAATGTGACGTTTCAGACTACCTGATTGTGTAAATTTCTTTTTGCATATATCGCATTCATGGGGACGTACCCCACTGTGTATCAGAATGTGACGTTTCAGACTACCTGATTGTGTAAATTTCTTTTTGCATATATCGCATTCATGGGGACGTACCCCACTATTGCAAACGTCACATTCATAAGTTGATGTTTCAACTAACTCCTGTTTGACTTCTTCTTCAATTGTAACCTCAGAATTCATGAATCTTTCTAAACACGTATCACCATCTTCAGAACACGATTCAGATTTAACAGTAACATCATGATCATCAAATCCATCCTCCATTTCGAGTTTAATGTCTTCTGGTGAATATTCTGGTGGTTCAATTTTAATTGCCTGATCATTCATAGACAATTGTTTCCTCCTCCATGGCTAGTGCTAAAACTAAAATGTTTAAATAAGTTTACCTTACAATAAAAGCTTGACAGAAAATATGTTACAAGAAATACTGGCATTCATGTGCACTGGGCATTAATTTTGATAAATGTTATTATAATAATGCTCACTACGTTTGTTTTATATAAAAGTAGTTATATAATTTATTTTAGGCAGTTTTTTTGAGATGATATATTTAATTATTTAGAACTTCAAAATAGTAAGTAAAACATATGAGTATTTCGCATCGAGGTCTCTTTGCTTGACAAATATTGAATGAATCTAAAAAAATTGTAAAATCGATTTAACATTATAAAATAAATTATAATGTTGTATTATTTTATATTGTTGACAATCTCTACTCATTGTTTTATCTAACATATCGCAGAATAAATTAAAATAAAAATAACTGTTTTGATTGTAAATTTTTGTAAGAATGATTCAACACTATAATATAATTTAAAATCAAATTATGATGTTATCCCTATATTACATTTTTTTGTATCAACATTGAGACATTTAGTTATATGCTTGTCATAGTATCATCATTGAAATAGTAAATCAAAATTATAAAAATTAAAACATACCTGATTCAGATAACTACACAAAATCACCTGATGTTCACAAATGCCTATATCAAATCATTTCTGATAACATCCCTGTAATAAGAATAGTAAAGGTTATTATTGGGCAAATGGTTATTGAATTAATGTTTATTGAATTGAAAATCAGTGATTTCATGTATCAACATGAGACATTTAGTTATATGCTCGTCATAATTTCATCATTTAAAGAGTAAATGAAAAATATAATAATTATAACATAGTAACATAAGATAAGAGTGAAAAATAAAATAGAATACAAAATAATGGAAAGTTTTCCATTGTAATGATATCCATATAATTGTCATAAAATAAAAACAAACTAGTTGGTTTGGTATTTAGCCTTGGGGCAAGTAACATGAACTTCCCGATATGTGAAAATAATCGACTTAATCAAAAAACTAGCTGTAAGTGGAATTCTGTCTTAAGGCAATTAAGGCATCGTGCCTTGAGGCAAATTGCTGGAACTTCCCGTACCAAAAATTATTATTTTTTTAAAAACGATTAACATTTTTGAAAAAATTTTACTTCGAAAAAATAAGATTTTTTAGAAATTTTAAATTGGACAAAAATTACTTTTTTTGAAAATAAAATTTTTTAAAAAAAAAAATTTTAAACATTTTTTTTTATAAAAATTTTTTTTTGGAAAAAATGTTATCTTCATTTTGATATATTTTGGAAGATCTGAACTTTTTTTCAAAGCAATCGTACTGCTTTAACTGCATAGAGACAAAATATAAAGCGCGTAAGCGCCGCGTCGCTGTCTAACAGAAAAACAATGGTACGGAACCCATAGGATTGTAACAAAACTTATACTTATTGTAAAAATCTCAATAAAATATCTGATAATTTGATATGCATATGTCTAATGTCTAATGATTATTGTTGACCGCCAAATGTTATTTTTTTTTAGTTTTTTTTACTAGATCTCCGAAACCGCTAGTCCTATCTTCATGAAAATTTGATCAAATCTTCATCTTGTTAATACAAGTAAAATGTTTTTTGAACTATACAAATCGAACGCTCCGTTCTCTTAAAAACTAAGTTACCGTTTTTGACCCTTTTTGCCCCATATCTTCGGAACGGCTAGAATGTTTTTTGAATTATTCAAATTGCTTTATCCGTGTTCCCGAAATCGTCGACGAAAATTTGTATCCGAACACACACACATGCACGCACACACACACACACACACACATACATCAATTTTCTCCAAGGTATGCCAACATATTCAGAAACCTCTGAAACGTAAAGATATATAAAAATTTTCATTTTCGATTTTTTTGCGATTACTTACTCTATGGAAAGTTAATTATAAATAAATCAATTTATCATCTCCAGAACATTAACAATCGTCATTTCATTTCGAATCAAATTCCAAAAAAAAAAATAGTTGCCAAATTTACACAAAATTGAAAAAGTGCTCCCGCATAGTCACAGTCTAAACGCATTTGCAAATAATTCTGTGCGACATTTTCACTTATACTGTGCTCAGCTTGGCGGCATTTTCACATTTTTCAATAATTTTCACAAAATTGGAAAGTGCTCCAGTACACAAACAGTCTAAACGCACTTGCGTAAACATTTCTACCAGAGTGGCGCTTAGACTGTGCTTAGCTTGGGTGATTTTTTGAATTTTTAGTCCAAAATTACAAAAAAAAAATTTTTGAAAAAAATTAGAAACAAAAATTTTTTTTTCCAAAATCAATTGTTTTGTTGAAAAAAGCAGAAAGTTCTTTGAATCATTTAAATCGGACGCTCAGTTCTCTCAAAAATAGCCATTTTTTTTAAATTTAGCTCTATAACTCCGAAACCTCTGGGCCTACCTTTGCCAAAAACTAATCAGCACATCTCCCTATCAATAGGAATCGAATGTTTTTTAAACCATTCAAATCGGTTGATCCGTTCTCTCAAAAATTCGCTTTCTATTTTTTGCACTCTTTGCTCCATATCTCCGTAACGGCTGGACCTACCTTTGCCAAAAACTAATCAGCACATCTCCCTATCAATAGGAATCGAATGTTTTTTAAACCATTCAAATCGGTTGATCCGTGCGCCCGAAAACGTGGACGAAAAAACGCGGACATACAAAACACACACACACACACACACACACACACACACACACATCCATTTTTTCTGAGGTATGCCAAAATGTTCAGAAACCTTCAAAACGTCGAGAAATGTAAAAATTTTGATTTTGATTTTTGGACGATTACTATAACTTACCCTACGGGAAGTTAAAAATATGTAAATAATATACTTCATCAATCCTACTTTAAAAAAAAAAAAACGATAATAATTTTAGCAAAGTTTGACGAATTTTTAAAATTAAACTACTTGTCGTAAGGCCGTAATATTGCAGTAAGTTCTATAAGACCATGATGTATATCGCCAAAAAAAGTTTCATGAAAATCGGCTTAAATTTTTTTTTCAACAGTTAATTACAAGAAAACGGCTCGGTAGATTTTCACCTGAAACTAATCAGCATCATTCCCAACTAATATCTTTCGAACCGTTTTTGATTTTTTAAAATCGGTTCGATAGGATGAGCTTAAATATGGACGAAAAGTTTAACACTTTTTTTCAAATTGCAAAGAAACGGCTTGGCAGATCGTCGCACCAAACTGACAAGCGATAGTCCTCAGCGAAATACATCAAATGGCTTTTAAATTTCTAAAATCGGTTTAGGCGTTTTTGAGAAAACGTCGATCAAAATTTGACAAATCCCAAAAAAACGATACCAATTTTTGCAAATTTTGACGAATTTTCAAAGTTTTTTTTTTAGAAAACTTTATTGCAAAAAAACGGCCCGGCCGATCTCTAGCAAAAACCAATCAGCACGATTCCCAACCAATATCTTTCGAACGGTTTTTGAATTTTCTGTGATTTATTAAGAAACGGCTTGGTCGATCGTCGCACAAAACTGACAAACAGTAGTTCTCATCGAGATACATCGAATGGCTTTTAAATTTTTGAAATCGGTCCAGCCGTTTTTCGAGAAAACGTCGATTTACGGCAAAAAATCTTTAAAATCTCTCTTTTTCCAAATTTGGTCTCATTCGATTCAGAATGGCTTGAAACGTCGAGAGAACATAAAATTGGCAATTCGGATTTTTTGATGAACACAAACTTCTCCTTCGGGAAGTTAAAAAACATGATACAAATTTTTTTTTCCAAAATCAATTATTTTGTTAAAACAAGCAGAAAGTTATTTGAATGATTTGAATCGGACATTTAGCTCTGTATCTTCAAAATGGCTGGGCCTGCCTTTGCCAAAAACTAATAACCACTTCTAACAATCATTACTAATTGAATGTTTTTTAGATCATTCAAATCGGATGCTCCGTTCTCTCAAAAACTCGATTTCTATTTTTTGCACTCTTTGCACCATATCTCCGAAACGGCTGGACCTGCTTTTGCCAAAAACTAATCAGCACATCTCCCTATCAATAGGAATCGAATGTTTATTAAATCATTCAAATCGGTTGATCCGTGCGCCCGAAAACGTGGACAAAAATTTGTATCCATACATACACACTCACATCCATTTTTTCTGAAGTATGCTAAAATATTCAGAAACCTTCAAAAGGTCAAAAAATGCAAAAAATTTCGATTTCTATTTTTGGACGATTACAATAACTTACCCTACGGGAAGTTAATAATGATAATAAAATTAATAAATGAAACTTGTGAATAATAATATTATTAGAAAAACAATAAAGTGCAATAAAAACAATAAATAAATAACAATAAATATAACAAAAGAGCAGCATTAAAAATAATAAAACAACAAAGTAATAATAATAAAATAAATTATCAACAAAAAAAATCCAATGATCTATAAATATAGATTTAAAAAAAAGTCTATATTATCTTTAAGTCTAAGAGAAGTTACGGTAAAATTTATGATAGAAAAAGTTGTAGCTCATTTAATCACCTTTAAAATAGTATATTAAAAGTTCTGATAAAATCAGAATTAAAAGAGTAATAATCCAATTAATGCGGTGGATGGTGACGGAGTGCAAATTATTTTCACTTCTGAACTTAAGATAAGGATTAGCCTATTTCCAAACTATCACAGTAAAAAAATTCACAGAGCAATAATTTTGTTGGTCGTAAGTTGAATAGAGCACATGTAAACAGAATTTATAATAAACTTAAGCAATAATGTATATTGATTGATTTATTGGAGAAAAAAATATAATTTACATATTAAAATTACTAAAAGCCAGTTAAAATATAGTACGAAATTATAAAAATTATAGGCAACATTATTGAAGCAATAATTATAAAAATAAAAGGTGGTAGAAGAAAGCAAAGGTGATATTGCACCTTTGCCGCGAATGCGGCAAAGAATATTAATTCTTT